GTCTCAAGTTTTAACTCTTTTCAAATAAACGAAATAAAAATAAGCATTTTTTTGTTAATATTTCATGCATGCAAATTCTTTCAGCTGTCAATCGTTTATAAAATGATAAAATGATAAATGCCTAGAAACTTATATACACTTAAGAAATTGACAAAAGTAAATAAAATAACCATTAAATCAGCCTTTCTTTAACATTTCACAAAAAAAAAAAAAAAAAAAAAAACACACACAACTCAAGTTGAAAAACATAATGCAATTATATATAATCCAGTTCAGGTCAGTTGATTTTACATGTCAACCTTGGGTTATTTTAATGTTGAATTTTGTATGGGTCACCCAATGAGGATCAAACTCCCCACTCAACAGTAATGATGAACCAGACTACTCTTGCTAACCATTATCTCACACTGAAGCAACTAGTATATGAGGTCTGAAAAGTAATGGAAATGAGTGTGCTGTATGTATGAGCTATGGGCAAAAGAAGGATAAGCCAATTATGTTATCATCTAACATAATATCTTGGGAGTTTATAACTATAATCTTAGCTTTCTGCAATCATTGCATTTTTTTCACATGTGAAAATTGTGACAGAACAAATCATGGCTGCTTCCCAATTCACCTGCTCACAATGCCCTGAGAGTCTGACAGTTCCTGGATGAGAAGAATATTGCCGTATTGGAACGATCTCTTTATTCACTTGATCTTGCTCCCTGTGACATTCTTTTCCCCAAGTTCAAGGGGAATCATCAAGGGGACTCATTTTGAGGGTGGGGGGCTGTAATGACAGAGCTGAGGGGGAATCCAAGAAGAATCCTTCCAGAAGTGCATAGAAGCATGGCAGAGAAGGGTGGAAAAGTGCATTAAACTTGATGGGGATTACTTTAAAGGAGAAAACATGGAGTTTGTTTTTTGGGAATTGAAATAAATCATTTGACATCAGTCCCATTACTTTTCAGACAGATCTCATATATTCATAGTTGAAACCAAATTCTTTTATATATGCTATCTGACAATCTGACCTACAAGCAAGACTTTGTAATGATTTCTGTATAAATTACAATTGGTTTTTAGTTCCAATAAGAAATTGGATTTGAACAATTTATCTAATGAATGATACCTTACTAAAAAATCATCACCATCTTCAAGTCTTAAACCACATTTTTTAATTTAAATATAGGTACCTCCATGAGATTGCTAAAAAAGAGCATGAAAAAGACACCAAACTTGACAAAAACCCTAGCACATCCAAAATTGTTAAAAATCTTGTTTTTTGAGTCAGCAAAATTGACAGATAATCAATCAGGTCAACCATTTTTTTTCCATTTAAAAAAAAAAAAAGAAATTGTTTGAAATTCTTTTAAAAATCAATTATAATTCTTTCAAAACTTATTTCAAGAAAATCAAGAATTATAATGTTTATTTAAAATATTTTGAAACAAGCATTACTTGATTTCTGCACCGAAAAGATGTAATTTGAAAATAAAATAAAGCAGGTCATAACATTTCGCGTCACTTGACAGATGATGAATGACAATTTCATCATGTATTGACAGCTTACGTGAGAATAAGTTTTTTCTACGGAAGGAGAGAAGTCAAATTATTTAGATTTAAGTGAACAAATTATTTGCCTCGTTATTTTTAAGGAAAACTTTCAGCGCTCTAATTTTTTTGTACTTAGCTTTCACCTTTACATTTATGATACTTTATGGAAAATATATTATAAAGAAATTAAAATAAGACTGTTGAGAATGAGATTAAATTTCATAAGAAAGGTATCTAATTAATTTATAGGTACCTTATGAAATACTATAATTTTATGTACATTTATTAAATTTTACTGTGTTATTTGTATTTCCATTCATTTTATTATTAATTTTAATATTTCATTTATGGAAAAATGTCATAACTGAGATTAATATAAAAATAAGATCATATAAATTTCATAAGATGATACTGATACTTGTAGGTACCCTTCTCAGTTGAAATTGAAAAAAATCAAATAAACCTCTCCACACATGTTTTGCAAAAATAAAGGCCTTTAACAGCGGAGAACAAAGCTTTACTCAAATAACACAACTTAATAGTATTGTGGTTGGTCTTCTGTACTTTATAATTACAGCCTGATTATAAACACAAAATTACATTTCTTAATTACTGCAGGTCTTCTGATTGTAAATTGTATTGTTTTGACCAATGCGCCAAAAAAAGATCTATCTCATAAGGACATTTATGAAACTGAATACAGCTTTTAACTAATTTTATAATATTTTAACAACTTAGAATAATTATATTAAAAATTCATTTTTCATCAAAAAATTTTTTTGCTTTCGGAAAATATTGTCCATATTCATAAAAGCAAATAAAAGCATTTGAAATTAAATATCTTTGTTTATTGAGTTTTGTATGTTACAATTCAGAGCTGATTTCCGGGGGTGGGGGATTAAAAAAGAAAAAAAAAAAAAAAAAAAACATGATTTGCTTTCCTCAAAGCCTTGTGCTTTTAACTAATATAATCACTAAACTGAATGCAATTGGATTTCTAGAAGTTTCCTACAATTAGTTACGGGAGGGGGTGTAATAAATATGAAAAAAATTATTTTTTCCATGACTTTAAAAAAAAGAAAACATATTCATCATAATTTCCATCATTTGTGAATAGTTTCTGAAAGTTTCATTAACATCCGACAATTATTTTTATTTTTGCAAGATTTTCCAAATTAATATCTGTAATAAAAAAAAAAAAAAAAAACACACACTAACAATTTGTATTTTATTTTACTAGTTCCAGTGATACAAAGAGAAACAAGGTTTTTTTTTTTTTTTTTAATCAAAGTTTAGAATGTTCTAAAAAGAAGGAAAAATTTTAGAAAATACTTAAAAAAAATACTTAAAAAAATACTTTGTTCTTTCTTAATAATAAACATTTAGATGATAAAAATTGTGTTTTCACCAAGTTTGGCGTCTTTTTCATCAGACTATGCTCTATCTTTAGCAATCTCATGAAGGTACCTATTTAAATATCTGGGGAATTTTACAAACATATACAATTTGCTATAAATTTATCTTTCACATTTTATTACAGCAATAAATATGTAACAATGAATTGTATTTTAAGATATATAGCATTCCTAGGTGGCAATTGCTTGTACCACAAATGTAAATTTGATTTTCTAATAAGGAAAAAATACAAAAACCTCAGCAGAAAAAAAAACTGTTACAATGTTGGTTCCTGGTGAGGAAAATTTTAGTTCAATGTCTACTTTATATAGGGTCAGTTATGTGCCATGAGTGATACATGCTTAGGTGATCACGCATCTTTCAATACATGACTAACGAGGCAGATTTTTTCCCCCACAGTAGTTTGCCATTTCTTTCTGCAGTAGACCAGTTGCCATCAAAGGCTATAGAACCCAGTCTGTCCTGCTATTTAGCCATAGCTGGGGGAGAAGAAGAGGATTCATACCTTCCCCAAGGGTATTAGCCCATAAGTGAATGTAATGAATTCAACTAGAATTCAAACTCGGCTTTCAGATTCTTCAATAAATTACATAAAAAAAAAAAAAAAAAATACAGACTATATTCATTTATTTTTTATAGACATACTTGCAATGTCTGCTGCCAACATATATCAGTCAGTTATGTGCCATGCGTAATACATGCTTAGGCGATCATGTATCTTTCAATACATGACTGACGAGGTAGATTCTCCTAACCCTCACAGTAGTTTGCCATTTCTTTCTGTGGTAGACCAGTTGCCATTTAAGGCTATAGAACCTGAGCTGTCCTGCTATTTACCCATAGCTGGAGGGAGAAGAAGAGGATTCATACCTTTCCCAAGGGTATTAGCGCATAAGTGAATGTAATGGATTTGACTGGAATTCAAACTTGGCTCTCTGATTCTTCAATCAGTTATGTGCCATGCATGATACACACTTAGACAATCATGTATCTTTTGATACATGACTGACGAGGCAGATTTTTTTCCCGCAGTAGGCTGCCATTTCTTTCTGCAGTAGACCAATTGCCATCCAAGGCTCTAGAACCCAGTCTGTTCTGCTATTTACCCATAGCTGGAAGAAGAAGAGGATTTATACCTTTCCCAAGGTTATTAGCACGTAAGTGAATGTAATGGATTTGAGTTGAATCCAAACTCGGCTGTCCTAATTCCTCAATCCAAGCCGCTATCCATTACTTCACCATAAAAATCTGGTATTAATTATAGGTTTCTATCTATAGTCTCATGCCTTAAACTAATGAGAGTAGAGACAGAAACCTGTAAATAATACCAGATTTTTCTTGCTTTAGAAACCTGTTAGATTATACATAAATCCATTAGGTTCTTTTTAAAAGCAGTTTAAATTTAATTAACATTGTTATAATGTATCATAAATATTTATTATTTTTCACACATATAATATTTGGAATATAAGTGTTTTTATACGTAGATTGATATAAGAATGTATCAAAAACAAATACAGAATTTCCTACTAAAAATGCTGTAATAACCGAAAAATGGCCCTAACTAAAGAAACTCTTGTCTAATTTTAATAAAATTTAGTACTGCACTCAGCAGAGGTTTATATCATATTTATGAACACAGAAAATAGTAATTTAGTGTTTCAACTTATGCTGTTGACTTTCATTTTGCACTAATACCCTAGGGAAAGGCATAACTTTGCACTGACACTCTCAGTTATAAGTAAATGACATGGTAGTTAGTCTAACAAGGCATTTGGGCTCTATCAAACAAATTACTCATGTGCACACAAAAAAAAAAAAAAATATATAATGGATAAAAATAATAAAAAGCTTTGCAGCCACCATACAGTCTAAGCTGAATAAAGAATTTGATGGGTTATCTGTCAAACCAGAACTCTTGGAGGGAGAGAAAACAAAGAAAAAGAAAAATTGTTTCATATACTTTGTCACACTAGGAGGTGGGTGGCTTATTTATTCAACTCATTTAGCAACAAAGGTTGACTTAATGAGGATCTCTAAAGTTATTTTAACATGGGCAATTCCTGTTCAAATGAAGGAAAAAAGAAAGGGGAAAAACAAAAGGGAAGAACAACAGAAAGGAGGAAGGGGGGAAAGAACAACAGAAAGGAGGAAGGGGGGGGAAAGAACAACAGAAAAAGGGAGGGGGGGGAAAGAACAACAGAAAGGAGGAAGGGGGGAAAAGAACAACAGAAAGGGAGGAAGGGGGGGAAAAGAACAACAGAAAGGAGGAAGGGGGGGAAAAGAACAACAGAAAGGAGGAAGGGGGAAAAGAACAACAGAAAGGAGGAAGGGGGGAAAAGAACAACAGAAAGGAGGAAGGGGGGAACAAAGAACAACAGAAAGGAGGAAGGGGGGGGGAAAAGAACAACAGAAAGGAGGAAGGGGGGAAAAGAACAACAGAAAGGAGGAAGGGGGGGGGAAGAACAACAGAAAGGAGGAAGGGGGAAAGAACAACAGAAAGGAGGAAGGGGGAAAAGAACAACAGAAAGGAGGAGGGGGAAAAGAACAACAGAAAGGAGGAGGGGGAAAAGAACAACAGAAAGGAGGAGGGGGAAAAGAACAACAGAAAGGAGGAGGGGGAAAAGAACAACGGAAAGAAAAAGAGAGATGATGGGTTGGCAAATTATATTCACATGGTCAGCTATGTTATAATCACAGCAACAGACCATTTCCACCCACATGTGTGCAATAATGTAATGGTGAGCTTAAAATAGATTTGCTCAAAAGATTAAAACGTAAAGTGATCAAACAATACACAACAAACTGGTTAGACAGAGGAGTTCTTAATGAGGCTAAAATAAATTGCACTACTTTCATTCCTAATAGTCTGTGTAACTTGACTGCCACTGGTCATTAAAGGGGGAAGAAAAAGAATGAAAAATAAAAAGGTCAACACAAACAACTGTTGAAATAACAGAAATGATGACTGCCAAGAGAATTATCATTTGCCTGACTAAATAAATACCACACTTACAAAACAAACATTGCAACAAAAGCAATTCACTATTTTTTTTTTTTTTAATCATTTCACCCCAAGCAAGGCAATAAAAGCCACTAGGATGCAAGGGGTTGTTACTCAGAGTGAAAGAAATAGGGGACAATAAAAAAAAAGAGGACAATAGTATAAAAGGAGACTTCATTCAATATTTCAAATTTGACAAAATTTTTAAACAGCATAAAATAAAATAAAAACAGCCTAATAGATTAAAGCATTGGTTCATAAATTTAGTGATATAATAATTATGAGTTCAATATGGAGGCAGGATAGTGTAGATTTACACTCACAGGATACAGATATTTTGCCATTATCTAACCCAATAATAATCATATATATGGTGGTGATTGTCACATCTTACCGAGATGAGAGCTGTCACTTCACCCATCTCATTTCAGCATCCATGGCCACAAAGATGACTCTTAAGACCATCATTTGAGTTCCTAGGTATCATTCATATATAACAGGTAAACTGTATCCTTGATCAGATCTACATGCCCTACAACTTACCTGTGTAGGGCCATGTGCCTTCTCAAACTAGATGCAAACAGGTTTGCAAATTGTATTTCCTACCACATTATTTTGTGGATACAGAGGGTTTTTTTGTTTTAAAACAGTGTGAATCATATCTACTGATCATTAGCAAAAAGTAATAAAGAAAATGTGCTCTCCACAAAATATATTATATATATATATATATATATATATATATATATATATATAGAGAGAGAGAGAGAGAAAAACTTACACCAATGATAAGTGTATAAAAATATAAGCAGTAAATTGCTGATACCCACAAAAGAGTAGACAGAGATGCCCACCTAAGAAATTCTGGCATCAGGATGCTGATAGTCACATCAATCAGGTAAGTGACAAACTTTTACTCGTATTAAATCCTGTGTGTGAGTGTGAGAGAGAGAGATATGCCTTTTGTAAAATAATTGATTTTCTGTATCATAATTTGATGAACTTTTGTTAAAATATAATGAATGGTTTAATTCAGTTTATTTTTTTCAAAATGTCACCCCCACTCCAACATGAAATTTCTAAAATTGTATACAAGTACAGTAGTACTATGACTTTCTAGAATCTTCTAGAAATTTACATTACAAATATTATGACTTTCTTTTTTTTTTTGTTAGTTACATTTGTTTTCCTTCTTGGCCCAGGCTATTCCTTTTTTCTTCATAATACTGAAACTTACTAAAACAAATTTTATGTTAGGAACATTGCAAAAATGTCAAGCCAGGGTGTAGCTATTGCCTAATAATGCTATTTTTTTTTATTTAATTGTAAATTTCTTTACAAATGATTCTTCTCAATCAATCAACAGTAATCAATACTAACCAAAATACTAAAAAGAAACTTAAAAAAAAAAAAAAAAAAAAAAAAATCGATTTAATGTTCGATTTCGTTGGTTCCTCACCTTATTTTTAAACTAAAAAGTCATACATAGCTCCTTAGCATCCACCAATATCAATCAAGTCAACATACCAGAGAAAATACGTGTTTATCTAAATAAAAATATACAATTATAGCTTTCTTTACATTTCTTTTTTTTTTTTTTTTTTTACATAGTTCAGTTGAGTAAAAAGAAATATTAATTCACTAATGAAAATTTCCTTTGAATTGGACGATTATTTAATTCCCTGATGTTTAGCAAACATTTTATCGGGGGAGGTCGAGTTTTGCTTTCATTACAGAAAAAAGTATCCATTTTATTTTTGGTGGTACCTAATAGTCTTTAATTAAATCCGTAAAAACAGAACTAAAATCCCAAGTTTTCAATACGGATTCGCTTAATCCTTAAAAGCAAATATTGTCAAATGGCTCAGGTTTAAAGATTGATGAAACAAGAAACCATTAGTTGAAATTTCTTATCCTGATACTGGAAAATAAATCAAAAACTGAATTTAAATGATGAAAATTTAATTTGAACCCACTTTTTTTTTTTTTTTCTTTTTTACTAATATTCCTCATTATTATTATTGTTACTTCAAATAAATTCTAAGTTTCAAAATTACATCAAATTCTCCACTTGAATTTTTTTGTCATGTATTTCATTTGAGGCCAAAGTACACTTAGTTAATTTTATAAAATAAGTTACCATTTCCGGAATTGTTGAAAGCATTTTTAATTGGATGGTAAAAAAAAATTTGATGAACTTTTGTTAAAATATAATGAATGGTTTAATTCAGTTTATTTTTTTCAAAATGTCACCCCCACTCCAACATGAAATTTCTAAAATTGTATACAAGTACAGTAGTACTAGTACTTTCTAGAAATTTACATTACAAATATTATGATTTTTTCTTTATTTAGTTACATTTGTTTTCCTTCTTGGCCCAGGCTATTCCTTTTTTTCTTCGTAATGCTGAAACTTACTAAAACAAATTTTATGTTAGGAACATTGCAAAAATGTCAAGCCAGGAAGCATTTTTTTCTGAAAATGTTTTATGTTTACAAGTATTAAATTAGACCAAAAATGGAGTATTGCCACCATAACATGATCTTGTAAGCAATGACTACTCTGCAGTTATCACAAATGCTCAAATGAGTACTCCATTCTGTATACCCAGCAGTTTGAACCTTTACAACTAAAACTTGCCTTACCCGTTTCAAAGAGTCAAACTATCCTCATTTCCAACATGTTCCAAATGTAAGAAGACAGTCCCCCTTAGACAGTTTTTTTTTCTTTTAACTCCCAAGAACAACCACTTTATAGTACAGAACATGGGTGGTTACTTCCCCGAACCTTTCAATCTTTAACTCTTCAAGTCAAAGGACAATCATAATCTTCCTTGTTAGCCTCTAAATCTAAATTTTTCTTACCAAGTTCTGTTCCCTTCATATCATACACCTCATTCAACATTATGGCCAATTCATAAAATAAAAACATTTTTTGTATTGTAAGAATTTTTTTTTTTTGTAAGTGAATAATGGAAAAAAAAAAAAAAAAAATGAATTCATACCTTTCCGAAGAATATTTGTAAGTAAGTGAATATAAACACAACTGAAATTCGAATTCTCAAGTTTCATTTTAAGTCACTATCCATTACACCACCCAAACACCTTCATTCAATATTTCTATTTTGTTGACTATAACTCTTTACATTGGACGACTCAAGTTTTGAATTAGGTGACCTTTCATACAGAAAAATAATTAAAGTTAAAAAATTAGTGATTAACTTTGTAATTTTTTTTTTTTTTTAACCAAAATACATAAAATGAAGCAACTGAGTAACTGTAAAGCCAGTGGCAAGAAAAAAAGAAAGCTATCAATAAAATCTGCTCTAAGCTACAACTATCAGTCATTAAATAAGTGTTACAGCAAAAAAAAAAAAAAAAAAAAAAAATTAAACATTTTTAACTGAGTTATCAGTTCTAAATTTTGTCAGCAAAATTAACACTTGACATCTTGATCCTGTTACCAAGATATCAATTGATCCATTCTTTAACCATGATCAAGCCTCCAAACTAACTGAAACTGTTCATGACTTAAGGTTGTAAACAAACAACTTATCTTTCCTTATTTACTTTATATATGGAAACAGACAACTATAAACATAATACACACAACAAAATTATATTCATACATACATACATACATACACACAGAGTATGTCTGCAGGTTATGACAGTCCCAACCTATGAAGATTTGTGGTTACAGTGCAATCTCCATTAATCTTGTTTCAACTCATGCCATTTGTCTCATACATTGTTCTCATATTTCTTTTTACTCTATACCTACACATGTTCATTACAACTGTCCATAGTTTGTCTTTATGAACTTTAAAACATGTATATGTGTATACATATAGTTTTCCTGTAAAAGAAAAGGACATCTTGTTAAACTACAAGTTGGTGAATTCCCAATAAAAACAAACAGGAGTTTGTTTTTCTTTCTTTCCCAGGTTTGCTGCTGCTTCCAAATACTGCAAGAGAGACAAGATCTCTACACTCAGTCATCTCAACTATTGAGAGCCAATGACATCACTGGCAATAAATATCCAATTAAAACAATTTCAATTCATTATATATATTTATGATCTCCATGTGTTTTTTTTAGTCTGAATTATGTTAACATGCCATAAAAATGTGTTGCTATGTCCTAGATTATTAGTTTATTATTGCATTAGCATAGGTGAGTGATTAAGTGTTTATTCATGGAAAAACGCAGTATGACACATTGTAGCAACAAAACTGTCATAAGTCGAGGACCCCCTGTATAAACACAGTCATTAAAATTAAGCAAACATACAATTGAAATGGTGTTTTTTAGTGATCAATACAAGAAATTCAATCTGGCATCCTATGATTGCTTAGATCAAACGTCCCTGCTCACAGAGTTTACAAGATATCTTTAAATGGATCAACTTTGATTTCATGCTAACATTTTTAACAGCCTAGTGGATTAAAAAAATTGGTCCATGAATTTTGCGACATAGTAATTGTGGAAAAAATAGCAATAGAAGGTTCAGATTTTTAAAAATCCATAGTCGTAATACCAAAGGGTATAAATGAATCTTGCAAGTCCAAAAGAAGGTGTTGCCACAGGGTTGTAATCCCCAGAACCAAGCTTCAATCATAACTTCAAAGCGGAAGAATGAACAGATATTTCACTTTGATCCCAGCCCAAACACTGGAGAGCACACACTTTAATCAAAGACAGAA